TTGCCAATGGAAAGTCTGGTTCTTTATGAGAGGCAGTTGGTCCCACTGGGAAACAGGCTGTGGGCGGTTAGTGACCTGCCAAAGGCACGAGTTTATGAAGTGGTGGATACCCAACGCCAGCCATCCTGATTCGGAATCCAGGGCTTCCACCTGGCCCCCAGTCCTCCCTCTGCGTTTCCTCCAGGGCTCCGGGTGCAGAGGGTCTGTAGATCCTGGACAGGCAGTGCCCCCTGCTGCCGGCCCAGACCCCAGCCCCTCCCCACCTCTGTGAGGATGTGAAAGGCTCACACAGGCCTGGCGCCCAGCGCAGTGACGGACATAAGACAGGGACTTGTGGGATAAAAGTCACCTGCCCTTTTATTTTCCTAGGAAAAAAGCGTCTCCTAAACTTTGGGGGCTTTCCCACTCCAGAATTAACAGACTAAGGGAGAAGAGGCCTTTTTGGTGGAGCGCTGCTGCCCCCATGCGGGTGGACAGCGACACTACCAAAGAGCAGAACATCAAGCCTGGCGGTGATTTTTGGGTTTCTGGTTCTGCGGCTCCCCTCCTGCAGATTCCTGGTCTCCAGGACCCTGGGTCCCTGATGGAGGTCCTGTCCATCAGGGCTTCCATTAGGGCCATCACCTAAAGGACAAGAATCAGGGCAATGGGGAGCTATTGAGGGGGATCCCTGGGAGAATCAGCCTTAGCTGTGTGTGGGGACAGATGCGGCCTCTCCACATCTCTCCCTCCCAGGAGAGATTAGCCTGACCATAAGCCTTGAGGGTCTGTCCTGTACTAAGCAAGCGCCTAATCAGGTAAGATCAAGGTCTGATCTTGGCTGGTTTGGAAGGGCAGCAGAGGAGCGGTGAGGGAGGCAGCTCAGCATGCGGCCAGCAGCGCCTCCCCAGCCTGCTGCGGGCGTGGGTGCAAGTCACAGAGGGGCCGGCAGCCCCTCCCAGCCTGGCGTGCTGGCCTTGCTGCACCTGTGGTTGGGGGGCGGTATAACGGCCCAGCCTGCTCCCCTTGGCACGTGGCCTGGGGTGATGCTATCTCTACCTCAGTATTTTTAACTCTTCTTTCCAGAGGATGTGGCTTCTGCGGGAGAGCTTCAAAGGGTGCCCTACTTGCCCCTCTCGGTAACCATGACATCATGGAAATGTAGGGGACCGCCCCAGCCTCCAAACACCTGGAGGGAAATGGGAGACTTTTTCCACTTCCTGTTCTACTTGTGGCTACTGACTCAATGTCTGACCTGTTTATTAATTTCAAAATGTGTGTGCTACCCAGAGAGGTCTCAGACATGTGTGTCTCTGTGTGAAAGGAGGCCTGCACCCCACCCCTCCCCCCACTGCCAAGGTAGCTTTGACACAGACGCAGGGCGCTGGTGGTCCTGCGCCTCCCCACAGCCAGAATGACAGCACTGGGTCTCCATGTGGCTCACTCCCCCAGACTCATCCCAGCCAGCCGCTCCTCTTCCCACACATGGCTCAAGGAGGCAGATGGGTTTGAGTAGGACTCATGGAGAAACTGAGGTGGACCCACATAAAGTGACTGTTGGCCCTGGCCCTTGGTGAGGCCACACGGTCAGCACAGACTCCCAGGTACCCTGCCTGCTTTCCCACAGTCCCTGTCCTACAGGTTTTGTTAGATAGACGTGTGCCTGCCTGGGGGCTGCCCTGACCAAGGCACCACCACCCAGGCTATGCTTGTTCTGAAGTTCTTGACAAGTTACTTTAGCTCTTGACAAAGCCTCCCTCTGTGAGGCTGGGTCCAGGCTGGTGAAACTGGCTCACCCGGCCACTTCCTCTATAGATCCCTACTTCCTTTCTCCTGTGCTCCCCACTCCTCATACTCAGCTCCCCCCACCCAGAACCTGACTCCAGGAGTCGTTCATTTACTCATTTAATGGCATCTGCTGCATGCCAGTCACTGTTCTAGTTCCTGGGGACACACTGATGACAAGGAACATCCCTATCCCACAGAGCACACAGGCCAGGGGACTTCCTCGCCAGAAAGTCCTGCTAATAAGGTGCTCTTAGGCCTGTCTCTATATGTGATACCAAGGGAGCTGGATGTTATATTTGGACCTAAAAATAAGCAATCCCTTAAGACTCAGATGACTGCCCCCTCATAGGGTAACAGCAGAGGGGTTGCTCTGTCAGAGCCAAGGACCCCACCCGGATGCTCCTGAAGCATGTGTAGCCTGCCCTTTCTCCTGAGTGGCTGTGACTCCAAGTGCCCTCAGAGGTCAGGTCTCTTTGTGAAGTTTCAGAGAGACCTCTAGAACCTTAGGCCTGGGGCCACGAGAGCACATTTAGTCCATTCTTCTGCCTTTGGGACTGGCCTGTGCTTAAGTCTTTTGGGACAGTAGGACATGTGTCTAGTAAAGTCCATTCTACAGCTGGGCTTAGTAACATGTTCCCTGCTAGGATGTCACCTTCCCTCTGTGAGGCTGCGTCCAGGCTGGTAGCGCTGCAGCTTCAGTCCACAGCCCCGGCTCGAGGGGTCTGGGGGTCTTCATGGCTGTGTTTCCAGGTCTCCTCAGCTGCCTATTCCCTCTAGGCTAAGCAATGCCCAGTTCCTTATAGCTGAGCCCTCTGCACTGACCGGCTTTGCTGGGGTGGTGCTAGGCTCAGTGCTGACCTGCCTGGTGGGCACAGGAGCCCTTCTTCTGAGGCTCCTCACAAGGCCACTTTAGTTCCTTCTGACATCCCAGGTAGGACCTTGAGCCAGACATGAGAGCAGAGTGGTTGAAGATGGATGGAGTCTCTGTCCCCACCCCCAACACTTGCACACCCTCGACCTGCTTGCTCCTGGTTCACCCCTCTGATCGCTGCCCTAACTGGTTTTAGGTTTAACAGCCTCAGACATAAGGGAAGGTTCTTGCTGAATTAAGGATCTCCTGGGTTTAGACGGAAATTTCTCAGGGGCGGAGCTGAGCCTGCTCTCCAGACGGCCTCCTGTGTGCCTGGCCTTGCCACCCTGCCTGCCTCCTTGGGTGTGGTGGGTCCATAGCCCCTGCTGCATCACCTTGCATAGATCTGCGGGTGGCCTTGGGGGAATCAGTGACCGCTGGGCCTTGCTGTCTGAGGGCACTGAGCTGGCAGGCCTCTTGCAGTCCGGTCTCCTCTGAGGTTCTTGGAAGGGTCTGTCTTTGACCCCTTCATTGCCTTCCAGGCTGCTGTCTCCTTCCCTCAGCCCAATGACCTCAGTGTCACTGCAGCCAACTCACAGGAGCAGACCTGCCTCCCCAACCACCCACACTTCCCTCACCCGGATCTTTTTTCTATAGAGCAAAATGAATTACCACTTCAGGGGGAAAAGAAAGAGAAACTAATTGGCTCAGTTTTTAATGGCTGTAAAGACTTGCTCTATTAACCCTCCCGGGGGCATTTCCATCTAATACAGGGAAGAGAATGCTTTAATTAAATTCCCAACGGTGGAATCTCTAGCATTGTGTCAGACGGGTGAGGAGGTAGAGGCCCCCCAGAGCTCCCCGAAGGTGGCAAACCCCACCTTTGGAAAGGTGGTGCCGTCCTACCACGTGTGAGAGTGACCCAGCTGTGATGGAGTGCTGAGACCTTTCCCTCTGGTGATCTTTAAGGGGATTATATTTAGACAAGAGATGGGGCAGCTTAGAAAGAACTGGGGATTCTGTGACCCCCCCTAAGTAGGGCTGACCAGGAGAGGGGACACTGGTTCTTAATTCTACAGGGGTCACAGAATCAGAGGCTCAGGGCGTGGGAGGTAGCCTCCAGTCCTAGCTGAAATTTCGTAAGTGGTGACATAAGCCTGTCGCAGGAAGGGACACGCTCTGGGTCACTATTAAAGCTGGTACAGTTGAGTATCCCTAATTCAAAAATCTGAAATTTGAAATGCTCCCAAACGTGAAACTTGTAAAGTGCCAACATGATGCTCAAAGGAAATGCTCACTGGGGCATTTTGGATTTCAGATTTTTAGATTAGGGATGCTGAATTGGTAAGCATAATGCTAATATTCCACCCCCACCTCCCCCCAAAAATCCAAAACCCGATACACTTCTGGTATCAAGCATTTCAGATAAGGGAGACTCAACTTGTAGCTCCATCCCTATGAAAAGAAGCAGGCCTGAATTGTAGCTGAGTGGATTTGCATATTTCTGGCTGGGGTGGTCAGACACATAGGGGAATCATGGAAGTATTCGGGATGGAACCCCCTCCCACCCCCAGGCATTGGCAAGCCTCAGCTTTGGGTCTTGGAAGCTGTAGTTGCTGGGTGGATGGTGGCGTGGTCTGACTTGTGTTCCCCTCAGCATCTATGACCCTGGGGAAAGGCGCTCTGGCAGCAGGAGTCTCGGGAGGGAGAGCGCAGCATGTTGCAGACCCCAGGGAGCCCATGTCTTTTCTCCTAGGTGACAGCTCCAGGCATCTACTCTCCTCAGTCAAATCTCTGGGCTTGTGGGGAGACAGCTCATCTCCTTTTTCCTCACTCTCACAGCTGGGATGGTGGGAGCATAAAGTCCTGCTGGGGTCACAGCCTCCTCTTAACCCTGCTCCTGGTGTCAGATTGGACACCTCAAGGGGCAGGCGTGGGGCTGGACTGGGCAGCAGAGTGGGGGATGGTCCCCAGCCATGAAATGCACAGTTTCAGTGGAAACCCAGTCTGAGGAGAGGCAAAGGAAATGCTGCTGTAGGACAGGAGACAGTGGGTGGCATTTTGGGGTCGCTTGCTGTGTGGTCCTTATCTGCTTCAGGTCACTGACACCCATGTGTCTGGGCTCCTGATTTGGGTGGTCCCGTGGTATGGCATGAGAATGGAAGAGGAGGGACCCAAGCTGGTAGGTGGGTTTTCCTGGCCCTCAGCATAGCCTGCTAAGCGGAAGCTTTTAGAGGTTATTCCAAGAGGTTGACTTAGGCAGCTTGTTGAAGGAGGCTTCCTGGACAGCGTCATGGACAAATGCCGTGGTTTTTCTCTGCCCAGCTAGTGATCACCAGCAAGCAGAAAACCCAACCAAACCCAATCAAACAGAGGCACAGTCTCTGCTCTTCCAAGTCATTTTTAATGAAGCCATGGGGCGGCAAGATATACAACATGCCCAGATACACAGCATAGCAGGGCCTCGATAATGAGATTAATTTCCCCCACATCTTGAGAGTAATATGTATTTCTTTATGAACACTATTTAAAAAATTATAACCCCCTCACAACATTCTCTAGGACCTAGAGCCCAAGAGAACCCACTGAGGATCCATCATCTGTGGGATGGTGGAGGCAGTCTCTGGGGAGCGGGAGGGGATCTGCACAGCCAGGTGAGGCTGCCGCAGCCTTGCCTCTGCCATGCATGTCAGGCAGTGACAAGCAGCAATAAGGGAATGGGGTGGCAGCAGTGTTTGGCAGCTCTTCAGCAATCTTCGTCACAAATTCGGGTAGGATCCAGTTGGTGGCATTGTGCGGGGGAGGGGAGCGCACAGAGGTGGTAGCAGCTTTCTCCTCCGTGGGGGTGGGAGCGTCCCCTTTGGAGAGGGAGAGGAGGGGTGGTGCGGATGAAGGTGCAAGGGAGCACAGGCTCTCTTATAATCTTTTGGACCTGGAATGAGGAAGAACAGGAGTCAGGCTGGACACTGAGGAGGACCCAGGACTGTCAGGGGTGTGACAGAGATGGCTCTGTTTGGGGCTGTGTGGTAGAGTTCTAGGAGCAAATGAACCCCGGAGTTTTCTTTTTCTTTTTAATTTTTCTATTTTTTGAGACAGGATCTTCCTTTGCTTCCAGACTGGAGTACAGTGGTGCAATCACAGCTCATTGCAGCCTCAAACTTCCCGGGCTCAAGCAATCCTCCCACCGTAGCCTCTTAAGTAGCTGGGACTACAGGCATGAACCACTCCACCTGGCTAATTTTTTTTTACTTTTTGTAGAGGCGGGGTCTCCCTATGTTGCCCAGGCTGGTCTCCAACTCCTGTGCTCCTCCCACCTCTGCCTCCCAAAGTGCTGGGATTACAGGTGTGAGCCCCCGCACCCAACCTATTTGATGGCGATGGAAAAGGATGCAGTTGTCAGCAAGATGACTGGGGGCCCTGGGGGAAGGGGGTGTGGAGACTGTAGCCAGGATTAGGGTATAATATGAGTGTAATGTCTTCTTACTAGTGAGCTAAGAGAGCCATAGTGGGGAGAGAGGACATGAGGAGAGGCCTTGGGGGCTCCTTTCAGTCACAGGGTGAGAAAGTACAACATAAGGCCTGCGGTGTAAATGATGTCTCTCTGCTTCCACTCAGTAGCTGTGTGGCCTCAGTTTCCTCATTTCCTACCTCATAGGGGAGAGGTTCAACAGAGGCGGCTGAAACGAGTGTCTTTTATAGCGTTTCAGGCCGTTGTTACTGAACAAGAAGAGCTGGTAACAGGAACAACTAGAAGAGTTTGGTGGGCTCAGGCTTTGGACTTTTTAAAAGCAAGACCCTGCAGGGAGGTTTGCTCTCAGAGCTTAGGATGCACCCAGAGACCTGCGCCCCTAACCCCCACCCCAGCTTCAACACCTCTCACCTCAGCTGGACCACAGCCGCAGCGTCATGAGCAGATTAAAGCCGGCCACTTTCAGGAGGAGGATTCGGAACCCAATCACTGACAGGTTTTGAAAGTTTAGGTTCATATCTGTAAAACCAAGAGGCCACTGCGGTTATGGGCTTGCCTGTCTGAGGCCTGCATGGCTGCAGGATACACCGACGGTTTCCCCCAAGGCAGAGCAGGCTGGGCGGGGGAGGCCTGCAGCTCCTGCATCGCTGCCCCCTTGTAGCTTTGGTGCATATTCCCTTGCAGACATATTTTGTGCATTCTTCCAGGGTCAACAGTGTTGTGTTTCAAGACAAAAACACTGACTAGACTTGGCCCTTTTTAAATTTCTGAGCCCTTCTGGGTATGGGGTAGGTGCTCAGAATTTATCGTCACCATCCCTTGGGTCTAGATGGGCCCCTTAGTGAGTTCAGCCGCCACGGGAGGGATGACTCAATAACAACTCAAACGGAAAGGAATATGGGCCCAGGGTGGGTGTAGAGTGGTGGGGGATTTTTGAGAGACAGGACCATTGCCTAGAGCCTACGTGAGTACTGTTGCTTTTCTTGAAAGAAGGCAAAGCCTGTTGGCTGTGGAGTGAAACTGTCCTCAGGATGACCTGGTTAGTTGAGGGCTATCCCTAAAGGAGTTGGAAATTTCGCAGCTGGGTCACCCAGAAGCTCTCTCTGGCTCTCTTGACAGTGGAGCTATTGAAAGAAATACAGAGGGATAAGAGAGTCCTTGGTCTATGGAAGCTAGAAACTCATCCTCAAAGTACTTAGAATGGAAAGTCAGAGATGGTGAGTGGGATTCAGGAGAGACCCCACCCAGCTCTGAGCAGGTCTTGAACTGCTGTTTGCATTCATCATTCATTCCCATATCTACTCATTCCTTCCCATTCCCTCATCCAGTCAGGGTCATTGCGGGTTCACCACTTCCTCAACCCTGTGCAAAAACCCAGGCTAGACCCCCCTGTCTTACCCGTTTCAAAGCTTTTCTCAACAAGGCTGGCATCGCAGAGACTTTCTAAAAGGAAAAACACAGACATTTTCTCAGCATCCAGAGCAGGCTGACTCTCCCACCCTAGACCCCCTAGTTCTTGGGCAGGTGATTGACAGCCTTTCCGTACTTCCTCGTGGAGTGATCTGGAGAGAACTTACAGCCTATGGCAGCTGCTAGGGAGAGCCCCTGGCCCTGGCAGGACCAATGCCTCGACTTCTGGATACTGTTTCTATTTACTCAATGTACACTGATTGCACAAAGTACATGTTACATGACACAGGCCACAGGGTGCCATCACACATGGACCCTGCCCTCGTGCGGCGTCATTCTAGAGTCCAATAGAGGCAGTGAGGCGGGCACAGTCACAAGGGCCATCAAGAGTATAAACAAGTACTTTCATGTGTTCCAAAAAGTTTAATCCCTGTACCCCGAATTTGTTCCTTGGTTTCATCTTAGTAAACAGCACTATCTGACTCAGCTGCTCAGGCTAAAATCTAGCTGCCTCCCTTGATCCCCTCTTTGTCTTCTCATCCCTGCATGGCTCTACCTTTGAAACCTGAATGGTGTTGGTCACTTCCCTGCCACCACCCTGCCCAGGCCTCCATCATCTCTGTTTCAGTTTTTCCCTTTCTGCTTCTACTCTTGGCTTACAACCCACTCTCCACACAGCAATCAGCTTGATCTTTAAGAAAAGCAGGCAGGGCGTGGTGGCTCATGCCTGTAATCCCAGCACTTTGGGAGGCTGAGGTGGGCGGATGATCACCTGAGGTCAGGAGTTCTAGACCAGCCTAGCCAACATAGTGAAACCCCGTCTCTACTGAAAATATAAAAAAATTAACTGGGTGTGGTGGGAGGCACCTGCAATCCCAGGTACTTGGGAGGCTGAGGCAGGAGAATTGTTTGACCCTGGGAGGCAGAGGCTGCAGTGAGCTGAGGTTGCACCACTGCCCTCCAGCCTGGGCAACAAGAGTGAAACTGTCTCAAAAAAAGAAAAAAANAAAAAAAGCAAAGCAAATTAGGTATCCCTTCCCTGCTTGAAGCTGATCAACAGCTTCCTGGTATACTTAGAATACTGTCTGGCCTCTCACGACCCAGGAGGCCCTGTGATCCAGCTCTGTCTCTTTCATTAAACTCAAGCCTGCTGCTCTTCTGCTTTCTCATTGAGCTCCTGTCCCAGGTCTCTGTAGGGTCCTCTCCCTACCCTTGGTATGGCTGGTACCTTCAAGTAGCATTTCTTCAGAGAGCCCTTCTCTGAATTTTGTCCTGAAGGTGGCTGTTTTCTCAACCCCCAGTTAAAATATATTCCAGTCTGAAGTTATATGGACATTCCCCAGCTGACAGAAGGGCTCCCTCAACTAATATGAAGCTTCCTCCGGGCAGACCCCTCATCTGACTTTATTCTTCCACTTCCGCACCTGGTACATTCCTGTACCGGCACAATCAGTGGTTGGTGAGTTGATGAGCGACTGCGTGAGACTGAGTGATCTGGGAAAGATCTTTTGGCAGACAGGGAGAAATAAGGAGAGGCAGCTCAGAGAAGGGCTTTAGAATGGGGCCTGGAAAAGCAGTAAGGGGCATACAGTCCAAGCAAAGGCAGGCAGGGGGGCACTCAGTGGGAGAGACTGAGGCTGGACAAGTACCCTCTCCTGCCAACTTCTCTTCATCTGCTTTTTTCTCCGTGTCATTCTCTGGACTGCCAGGACAGGGCTCACTGTTTCTTAGTAAAGTAAGGGCTTTGGTGGCAACTGATGAGGCTGAGACCACCAATCAGAGTTTTAGACACTATTGACCAGAGCTCTGGGCAGAACCAGGCCACTCCTGAAGCAAGGAAACAGCCTGCAAAAGCACCGAAGCTGCCCTTACCTGAGCCGGAGAAGAAGGTGTTTGCTGGAAGAGAGCTGCCGTTGAAGGCGTCTGTGCATTTAAAATTGGAATTGCTGCTCCAGGCCACGGCACCGTTGCTCTTGGAGTCCATAGACTTCATGTCTAGCACAGTTTTGTCTGTGATGTACACTTCAGACTCCTTACTTTCTGACACATTCATTTTAGAATCAAAATCAGTGAATAGGCAGACAGAGGAGTTGCTGGATTTAGAGTCTCTCAGCTGGTACACGGCAGGGTCAGGGTTCTGGATATCTGTGGACAAGAGGATCAGGGTTAGGAGATGATCTTGTTTCCCTCTTTGTCCCAACCCTGGCTGGAGTCCAGATGCCTGTGATGGACAAGAGCGGGGCTCTGTGGGGCTGGCAAGTCACAGTCTCAGGGTTTACATGGGAAATAGCATTTTAGAAACCAGCTGCTCGTGATGGACTGGGACTCAGGGACAGACACAAGCTATCAATCTTGGCCAAGAGGCCATGATTTCAGTGAACATTCTCTGCCAGGCCTGTCACTCAAGGAAACCTGAAATGCAGGGCTACTTAATAGTACTGCTTATACTTCTGCTTAGTAGGCTCTTCTTCAAAACCCCAGCAGTGTAACTCTGGCAGAGCAAAGGCAGGCATGCAAAAAGGCCCAGCAAAGCAAGCTGTACATCTTGGAATCTGGAGGGGTCTTTCTGACTTAGGCTGGGCATTAGAAGAATGGGAGGTTTATGGCACGTTGGCATGAAGCTGGGAAATCTATCATATCACCAGGAGATTTCTCTCTCCTAGTTTTGAACTATAAATCAGAACATCTGTGTCCAAGCCCTAGCACTACCGTTTACTTGATATAAGGCCTCGAGCAAGTCACAGCAGCTCATGTCTCAGGAATTTAATCTGCAAAATGAATACGTTGCCTCATCTACCTTCCTAGCCAGGCTCTTCTGAGAAAGAAATGAGAGCTTCTCCATATAAAAATCTATTTAATAAACTGTAAAGTACCAAACAAATGTTAGTTGGAGCCATTGACCCTGCCAGAATACAGCCGTGATAAAGTGCTAGTGAGCCACGCAGAGCCACGGTATCTATCCTTCACCCTCAGAAAGGAGCTGCTGGAGGCTTTTCCTTAGGGCCGAGACTCATTCTTTAGTATTTCCGTAGGATTTTGTGTTTTTAATGTGACTCTCATTGTTTATTCTTTCCAACCTCCTGCCTTTTGAGGAAGTAGAGGTTTGCTGGAGGATTAGCATGTTGGGGCCACCCAGAGAGTTTCCAGCAGGGTGGGGATTAGAATTTCCCACCCAGTGGTTCTCTGCTCCCACAGTCTCTCACATGCACACAAGATTTCTCAGACCTTGGTGATCCGTCCGCACTTGCTGAGCCAGCCATGGTGGCCTCGGCAATGCAGACATCCAGCTGGATCCAAAACTAAAGAAATCAGCCCCTGGGATGCTGAGTGGAGGCAGAGCTGCCTGCAGCGTGGGGCTGCCCCTGGAGCAGTGGAGCAGGGGTGGGCTCCACGGTCAGAGGGAAGAGACATCTAGAGCTCTGGCCCCAAAGGATTCTGCCTACTTCCCTCCAACCTCCCCACACCTGGGCAGCCTGACATCACTGTGGGTGAAGGCCTTACCACATAGTTCCTTAGCTGGGAAGGGATAGACAGAAAGCCATTGGCTCCACCAACACATCCCCCTAATTGTTAGACATCAGTGGGGGTCTTGGGCAGCACTGCAGAGGGGGACAGAAGAGTCTGGAAGTGCTGATCCACAAGGCAGAGGATCAGGGGCCACCAGATGCAGGTTGGCTTTAAAGAGGAAAGGGGGTTGCTTTGGAGGGGCAGAAGCCCAACTTTGAGTCCTGGTTAAACACTCACTCAAGTCCTGGGGCCAGTGGGTGTCAGACTGGAGATGGTCTAGACTGCTCTGTCTAGTACAATCGTCTCTAGCTACATGTGGCTATTTAAATGAAAATTAATGTGAAATAAAATTTTCAATTAAAAATGAAACTCCCTCTCAAGAGCTCAATAGCCACATGCAGCTGGTGGCTAGTGTATTGGACAGTGCAGATGGACAGAACATTTCCATTGCCACACAAAGTTCTGTTGCACAGTGTTGGTCTAGAAAGCATAATGCTGCAGAACACAAGACTGAGAAACGGAAGCAGGGGCTGAGTTTAGATGTACTTGGTTTTTTTTTTTTTTAGCCTTTTTATACTTTCATCCCCATGTATACCTCTAGTGCAACCTTATCTCTTTGCCACTTTTAATTTAGAGGTCTTTAGAGGTCTGTCTGCCAGAACCCTTTGGGGAGCGACATCCTATTTTACCCTAGTAAGAAAAACACATCCCATCACTGATGGTATCAGAAGGTAGGCTTAGCAAGACTGAACCAATTTTTCAATGTGGAAGTTCAGCTATTCTAGATCCTAAACTGTCCTTTAAATTCAAAATGAACTGCAGAAGCACATGTGCTCTAGTGCTTTAGGTCCCTATGGGCACAGCAGTGATTGAAAGCACCCTTACCATTAAATCTATTCCCTGTAGTTAGGCACGAGGGACCCAGAAATCAGAATTAGTGACACTGACTCTGGTTCCCGCTGAGGCTCTAGTGAGCCTCAGGAAACTGAGCATGGGCAGATGTACTGGGAGAAATGGAAATGCTGGTTCCTTTGCTAACTTTCATCTGGGAGGTAACACCTTCATACCACTCCCAGTGTTTCTATTACAGAATCCCTTAGGTTTCTCCTCCTCTGAGGTGTGGGATGACCCCTCTCAGAGCCCACTGAGGAAGGAGGGGAGATCTGCTATGCCACAGCTTGCTCCTCTCACCTTTACTTCTAGTCTGCATCTCTAAATCAGATTGTTTCCCAGTTGCTGGCCCCCGCCTTAATTTCGTATTCTCTTGAATGCTCTAGTATTTTCTTTTTCTATGCCTAAAAAGACATCTTCTCTGACTGCTTTTCAACCAATTTTATTATCAGATGTTTACTTAGGCTACAATGCATGTGCCTTGTTTATTCCCAAGTTCATGCCTTATTCTTGTTGTTCTCTATGCCTGGAACTCCCCTTCTCTCCTTTCTCTGCCCATACAGATCTTATCCATCTTTCAGGGCTCAATGAATCGTTTGTACTGTATGAAACTCTCTCAATCTAGACCACCTTTTCAGCCAGCACCCTGTCCCCGCTCAGTCCCTACTGTGTCCGTTGACATCATTAACTGGTCAATACTAAAACAGTTTTCAGGCTGCTTAATTCACAATAGTTCTGTGCCTTTATCTAGTTTTTATGCAACTTGGGGACAGGACAGGAATCCATCCTAGGCTTCATACTCAGTCTAACATTTTATAGACTGATAGTCACATAGAAGGCATTTAACAATATCCATTGAATGATTAAAGTCAAATTTTGACGTGTTTGACCTAGAGAAAGATGAATATTCAAGATAGATAATGATGCTTTTCCCTTCCCAGACCTCGGTAAGACAATTAGTTACAACATCTTCAGTGAGCTTCACCATACTAATAAGTGATGTCCCCAAAGAAAGGATTAGTGACACTGGCCCATGGGGTTGCAAATGGTGCCACGTGGGATGACTCACCAGATATAATGAACACATGGGTCCCTTTCCCAAATGTGAGTTTACCAATTGCTCCTCTGGTATTCACACCGCAGGTAACACCATTGCAGAAACTCACGGGACCTACCTATTACTTAAATAAGAGAAGCACTGATCTCCCCGACAAGGCAGGAGAATCACACTCCTAAGAGTTAGACCTTCTGCTCTTTTGCATTGAAATTTTGCTTGATATGTACACTTCTCCTCCTGCTCCATTCTGCTGTGGTGCCCTGGGCTGAAGTTATGATTTCAAATAAACCAAGAGCTCAGTAGAACAAAGCCCCAATTCCAAGTAGCAGTGTCTTGGATATGTTTGTGGAAGGTTCAGGAGTACTTTCTCATGGCCTGCCTCGTGGTTCCTAAGGTCCCATCCTAAGGATGGGAGGATTTTCTGGGCATGGGTGGAAGAAACCTTTTGGGAGCCTACGGAGGAAAATACCTGGGCTTAAACTCGGCATTTTAGACAAATAAGAAATAGTTGCCCACCCTCCGTTGCTCTCCTCCTTCATTCTACTTACTTGGCTGGATGCTCAGTCTGGTCCCTGATCCAAAGATTATTTTGGAAGCACTGCTGTACCCCACTGTGGGTAAGGTCTTTGAGATAACCTTCTTGATGCTGATCTGCTGGAACCCACTGGGGTCTCAGAGCAACATTCTAAACAGCTCACTGGGTCTTTGCTGCTTACATCTTTTATTTCCCAAGGAAGCGATTCCCCTTTCCCTTTATGATAATGTAAATCTTAGTATAAGCAAAGCCTCGATAATAATTATATTTTAGAAAAGCTACTACTTATTACTTTTTACATTTTGGCCTTTATCTCATATGATGATGATGTAGTTATTGCCCTTTTTCTGTTGAGAAAGTGGAAGCTTTATAGAAAACAGCTAGTAATAGTAGAGCCCAAATTTTCCCGAGGTCTGTGGGCTCCCTCTACGCTGCCTTTACCCTTAGGAGGAAGTTGAAAACGCTTCTAACTCCACAGAGGAAGGTTCTATGAGTAGGTATCCCCATACCATGCTTATTAGCCAATCCAGGGAATTTAGCTACCTGCTGCAATAAAAGAGAATTTGTGTTTGCCATTAATTCATCTTTTTCCCCCAAGGGCATTTAGCTAATTTCCTAAATGTTCAGATTATCTGGTGCCGATATTATTGGCTTCGCTTGAAAGCACAGAGTATCTGGAACTCTTTGTATGTTTCTATAAATTATTCTGCTCAGATTTTCATTTACTCAATTGGCTCTTGGCACTTCTGTATTTAATATGAGAAATGGGAACATTTTAAGTCACCAAGAGAGCTTGTAGAAATGGAAAATGAGTGCTTCTTAATATATCCCCAACTTTGCTATAAATCATCGCCTGTTTTCTCATAGACTAGTGGTCAGTTCTTTTTGTGCTGATCACTTGCAGGGTCATACTCACATGGGTGTACAGCCAGCCTGGTCCCTGCTCCAAAATTCAGCTTATTGTAGCCACCAGATGATACACAATCAGATGGTGCTTTACAAGAACTCTAAACCTGGGCAGAGCCAGCCTGGCTGGGGCACTCCATCTCCTGTCCCTGTTTTCCAGGCTCCCCCACGTCAAACTTTCTCTGACAAGAGAGAAAAGTCTCACCTACCAGGTCTTAATTCCTCCTACTCACTCCTGCAGATGCATTA